ATTTAAGGATCTTTGCCTGTGTTGACCATTGAAGAGAAAGGGCTGTGGTTCGATTCGCTTTATTCGAACGCATCCGCTGCCACCAGTGTAGAATACCCGAGCCATAGTAGGCAAAAGACCGGTACAACAGAACAGACTTTATTGACCAATCAGAAGCCAGAGCCACGCGTCAGGCGCCTTCCATCCAAGTCCACCACGCTGGCCACGCCGCTCATTATATACTGCATCTCATCCATGTCCTTCTCTGGTTGGCTGCCTTCCTTTCCCGCATGCCATTGGATCGCAGAGAGACACAGGATTGGCTGAGGCCAGGTGGTCCAACATGTCTGCGCCCGAATCCGACGCCACACCACACTTGGTAGCTTTTTTTCTCATTCGTGACATGCATAAATTTATTTTCGCGGCCGAAAAAACATATTTTTGTTTCTATGAGACATTATGTCATTGCATTAACTTGAATTATATATGGTGTGGGAGCAGTTTTTACTGCCATTTTACACAACCCTTGTAATCCATTTGCGGAATTAAGATTCCTGTCGCTAACCAACGTTTTGCTGCTTATATTGGCTTTTAAACAGCAATTATATTTTTGTCTTCGTGTTTCCTCTGGTGGGTCATCATGGGTTGTTTCAGGCATTCTTTTGTTACGTAACAAACGCTAGTTGTCCCTTAAAAACATTACACGTCGTCCTCTCGTTTCCTTGACTTCGTACAATTTAATCCCTGGAGTTTCGCTTTTTCTTTGGTTTTATGCTTTTTACATCGACTTTAATTGGTCAGAATTATACTGCAAACTCGTCTCACTATATACGGTTTTCGAGGAATTTTACTAGTTCACGTCGGCTACGTACCTGTCATGGTAAATGTATGTTTCAGAATTACTTGCTTCTAAAACTCAAACCAGTGTTTTAAGGTGTTAAATTTTTGTTTACATTTAGTCTACTTGCCAAAAATTCCGCGGTTCTTCACAACTTGCCCATATTTTCTGTGCGAAATACTACGTCACCGCTGTTAATTTTTTTTACCAATTATTGACTTTCCTCACCATTTTTGATAGTCACGCAAACTAGTATCTTGAGTTATTGTGGCATTCTTCCGGTTTATCGTGCCCATCCCTTCATCTGTCTTTTCCATACGGATACACTAGACAATGGATGGTCGACCTCCGCCTTTAACAACAATTGGTGGGGACCATCCAAATGGCAGTGGTGGAAGTGGTAACATTACGCCCCCCGAAACATTCAACTTTGATCTCTCTGATCTTATTGACGATCTACTTGCCCTCGCTTATGTGGATACGGGTATTGTTTCCTTGTGTTGTGTTTCTCATTTGAAAACCGCTTCTGAATTTAAATCGTATTATTCCTGGAACTGAATTTAATTTGACTTAGATGCTTTTCGTGATTGGAAACTTGACGTACTCTCATTTTCAGTCAGAAAATCTGCCATGTCGAAGTTTATTCACCACAAAGGTGTTATTTTAACATCAGCAACTAAGAAGTGCTTGTTTACGATGCAAAACGTAACGCAACCGATTTATTCAAACATTTATAATTGGAAGTACACCAACCACCATTTACCTAGTACAAATACTTTGTTTGATAGTATTCACGTGGTGTAAACCACTAAATCACTCGCACGCATGCCAGTATAGACCTTCGAGGCTGCCACACATCGACACCTAGCTCTGAGTTCTTATATCTGGGCTTATCGGCTTCTTGTCTCGTTCATCTAGCATCATCAAGTGGACCCGAAGGTAGTAGCGGTGTAATAATGTCCACCTTGGCCCAGCGGATTGTTGCCATCCGAGCTGCAGTGCAGGAGGCCAAAGAAGTTTGCCGTTCGGGGCCGCGGGTACTCCGTTCGGGCGCTCCTCTAACTCCACGTGGAAAGGGCAGCGATAACCACCAGCTTTTGGCGCTTTTCCAATCAGCATGTGAACTTGATCCTGCTTCACAGCGCAATCTTCTCTCTTCCTTGGGTACAGCTTGCATTGCCAAGCGCCAACTTCTAGCAGACCTTAACCAACAACTGCTAGCCCTTACTCAACAAAACGATCACTTCTCCATTTAATGTGATTTTCGTCTATTTTCGTAAATGTAAATAAACACTCAGTCTCTCACATGGGTTTCTTGACTGTGTATTTAACCAAAACCAAATGTCTTCTAGGTCAGTAATATCCACCTTTGTACAGAGGCCTATTAGGTGGCATTTATTCCAACTATTTTTAGTCGACGACGATGTCTTCATTAGTTTAGGTAGCCTTTTTAACATTTTTAGTTATTGTCTTCACTTTCGCTCTTGTTAAGGGGATTGTGGGCACTGTTATTCAGTTGAGGTGACTGTACTGTGAAATCGAGGGACGTCTTGTGGGCTTGTTGTGTGTTTGGATCAAGTTATTCCCCTTCTCTGCAGAAATCTTCCTTTACATGAGTTGAAATAGTCTGTTGAAATAACGTAGCGCCCTTAGTAAAATAAGGCTAAAACGGGACTACTTGGATTTAGCTGCAGTGGTTACCTGCTTATGGTTTGCGTGTCTCCTTAGATCCCACTGCTACGTTTTTCCGGGGAGCTTCTTAAATTCGATGAGTTCATAGTTTAGATGTGTTGGGTTTTACAGAAGGAAAATTCTTTAAATATACGTTCTCATCATACGTGATTTGCAGCAAGATTCCACATTGCAAAACTACGGCCAATACGCCTATGTTATTGGTGGCTCTCAATGCTTTATCTCCTGTTAGAACTGACTTGCTTTTGACTCGTGTTACAGGAAGGTGGTGTTGAAGAGTCCAACTTGCCTCCTCTCTGGACAGCGCTCAAAGTCTCCTGCTGCAATTCCAAGGAGTTTGTGGGATACCTGTGTGGCGCGACCAACAGAGCTGACAGAAGACTAGTACTCTGTTCAGTCCCTTCTGATTCCGTTCAGTGTGAAAATGGACCAAAATTGTTCATCGTCTCTGGGTGGTCGATTGAGAAAATTGAGGTAATCCCTGCAAGATATGGTTTGGTTCTTTCTGTAGCACCCGATAATGTGGAACTCCTTAGGGTGGCATGCTGTTGTCGTTGGTTGCTTATGAGGTTTTACAATTTAGTATTTGCTTTCTTCTCCACTAAAACGACTCGTTTTTTGTGTGCCTAAGCTCTAGAAGATGATCTTTCAGATTTACTATTTGATTTGAGACTTGTGATTTTAAAATTTACTGTGCAGTCTTTGCCATGTTTGATGTCTACATCTCTTCATTGTTTACTGGCACCAAATGCGCCTATTTCGCCAACGAACCTGCCTAATTTCTTTATTTGTATGATATGTGAACTGTTTTTATCGCAAAAAATCTGTTATTGGATTTTCAATTAAAAGGTTTTAGACAACTACCCGCCTATACCGGAAGAAACCAAAGCACTTTTGGACAACATTTATTCGTCTGCGATCGACCGGGTAACAGATAAAACAACAGTACAGGGGGCTGACCACATTGAAATGCGTCGACAGGCTGTTCTTCGGTTCTTTGGCCCCTGCGTTGCCAAGCCAGCGGATGGAACTGATGGCAAGATTGTCCTCTATGATGGTGTCGTGTCCATCAGTCCCCCCTACCTCCCCAGCTCCTGCCATAGTTCAAATCAAATCGCTCTGCAACGTGTACAAAATTTGTTACAGCAAGTCGATGACAAGCCATCGTGACAAAATTCGACAATTTTAAGCCCTAGTACCCTTGAGGCAATTTTTTTTTGGGTCGCTCTGCTAAGGTTCACATTAGTAGAAAATAAATGGCCATGGCATTTACAGCTCGATGTTTTACAATGCCTTACGGGCGAGCGTGACTGCGGATATTTGCAATTAGACGTGATTTCAGGAACTGGATTTTATCAATTAGTTCCGAATAATACCGATTCCATGCCTCATGGATTTAATCTAATCGTGACTTCAAACTCTGTATCCCCACTTCTGCCTTTGAGCTACTCGCGCGATTTTATAACGCAAAACTTTAGATTTGCCTGCTAAATATACCCTCTCCCCGGGTAAATTGCCAGCATGAAGTTAATTTAGAGCTGTCTTCAGTTGTTAATGTCATTTTTTCGCAGTTGTAGGTAACCTAATTTCCCACATCCATTGTTGCTTATGAGTTCTCGCAATTGCGGTGTTAATACATTCAGATGCTTTTAATTTGCTACACTTAAGAGTCCCAACACAAAGGGTATGGTCGTTTGAGGTTTTGGAGGGCAACATATCCGGATGATTTGCGAAATGTAGGAGGGATTGCGATGGAAACCAAAGATGAATTTTCAATTATTCAGGATTTGATGTTGAGACTTCCAAAAAAGTCAAACTGTTTTATTTAGAAACCAGACCCAGTTTGACTCAGGGTTGTTGGACCGCCGACGTTTAAGCACACTAGGAAAAAGGTAAGAGTTGTCCAGTTAAAATGCATATAGCAGGTTGAAGGAATTGTGTTCATTCGGATGCTCGGAGGGTCAACATGTCGTGTTAGAGACGTACGTAGGTGCCGTTCAATCGCTCGAAAGTTCTGCCAGTTATTGAGCACCGAAGTTGGGTACTGGTATCGACTAAACACTTTATAATGTTGTCAACAGGTCGCTTCTGCTCATGTCTAGCATATTAGAAAAATGTCCAAATGTCCTGAGTTGATTAATTGTGGCCTGATGAATTTCAGCTAGCCAGATTATCAGTGATTCATTTGATTATTTGAAACAAGGCAAACAAGATCAATACCAGTAGAAAATGCCCGATTTAATGTGAAAGTTGTTTCGTCCCTATATTATTACGGTTTAATATCCAGGCAAGACGAGATATTTGTGGAAATAATTGTTCGTAATCGACTTGGCCAAATTGTTTAATTTCAAAAAACCAATTGAGTAGCGTATTCTACAATCTTTGCTTTTCCGATAACACTGAAATCTTGTGCACATTAAAACTCATTTTTACACATACTTACTGTAGGAAAATGGTAACTTGTTCACAAAATAATTATGGACAAGATATTTATTTTACTTCGATTTTGCTGACGTTTATGACTAGAGTAGCGTAACTTTAATTTTGAAATTACTAAATCTGAATACCGAAAAATGAAACAGGTCAAGAAATTTCTGGAAAGTCAGTCCCTCAACACGTAATCGTGGTGGAATTCAAAGTCAGTTTTCGTTTTCTTTGGGCAATTAGTATATATTTTTACAAGCGCATTCTAAATAACAAAATGTATATTAAAAAATGTTATTCAGAAAATTATTGTTTTTGCTTAGCCACTTACTTTATCATATTCTTATACGGCAGACGATCTCTTTAAATTTAGTTCTCACAGTTGTAAGCAAATTACATCGACATCGGCTATTTTCGGAACATTGAATACCCAGAGCGAATTATTGCTGATAGATAGTAAATAATAGTGGATGTTGTGTTCTATTTGTAAACACAATAATGATTTCGACGTTTAATTATGGAGACCACCCAGAAAGTAAGGTAAAGAGCAATTAATGAACACGCGCAGCGGTGAAAGTTTTAAAAAGACTATTCTGATATACAGTAAAAAAACCTATCAATAATTCATAGTTCTGTCAATCTAGTTAACATGTTCGTAATAACTGTCCTTCACTAATATTCAAAACGCAAAAAGTAGCGATTTAGCATTTAGACCAATAGTAGGTCTCGATTCTGTAGGCCACTCTACCGCACTTTTTAAAAATTCTAGGCTAGTTGAAGAATCGAGGGGACGGCCGATTGATTTAATGGGGAATTGGTTGTGCGGGCATTATGCAAAGGATTCTCAAGTCGAAAGAATAACCACAGAAGTTGTAAAACCGCGTGCTGAACACAAAGCATCGGTAACCAAATTTAGCGACAAAACCTTCGGACTTGTTTATTCCGTCCTAAGATTTTAATGTTTTTAAGTGTTAACATATAAGCTAGGGCTCTTAAATGCACCACAGTGCTGGTAATTTGTAAGAATTTGGAACTTCGCTTTAATATCTGAGTACGAACTCATGGATATAAGCTTCCTGAATGCTCATTACCTAAAATATTGTTTCCATGGTGTAACTTAATTGTTTTCTGATTCATTTCATCCCAGTATGGTAGTGCATAATGAAGTTTTTGCTCTAGAGTGATGACATATCTACGGTTCTCAATTTTGGTGTGATTTCGGACAATGCGTTGGTGAATTATTCTTTGATAATACTAGAAAGTCAAAACCTTCAAGTCGTTCCTTTGGAAATTGTCATACCTTATCTTCTAGTGTCATTTGACACCAATTCTATAGCTGTTTTTCGTGCTCTATTTCAGCTTATTTTTCTACACGGGCTAGGTGATTCAGGGTAACTTTCCTTATTTTATTTTCAACACTTTCATGTTAAGACGTAATTGGAGTCTGCAATTAAAACGAATAGTTCCACCTAACTGCAAAGTTATTTGCCCGAATGCGTAAGATTGTAACAGGTACGTTTTACCAATATTTTTAGTCGTCCAATTCCTGTGTCCGTGAATCAGCAATGCGTAATGCCTGCATGGTAATTTTATAGAATTCACTGATGACGCTATTAGGTTTGATATTTATGGTTTAACCATTGATGCCCCGCAAGATGAAGCCGGTATACAGAAGGTAGCAGAGCAAGGTGCTTTTATAAATTTTTATTATTTGTATGTATTTAGTGTCTAAAATTGTTAGAGCTGAGATTGACGACGAGGGTATACCACCGAATCGTATTATACTTGGCGGATTTTCTCAGGGCGGCAGTGTTGCTCTCTACACGGCTCTTACTTCACCTAGTCTTCATGGGTTAGGTGGCGTTTTTATCCTCAGTTCATGGCTACCATTAGCCCAGCAGCTTACCTCTGACGCTTCGGTGAGTTGACGTGCCTCCTTATCGTATGCATGCAAGCACTAGCCCTGCAGGATTTAGTAAGTCGGGTTTATGAGCGCGACCCTTTTTGAATAGCGAATGTTTATTCGAAAATCTGTATACTTTGTTTATCAGTTGCCTTTATATCCAGTCCTTTATTGTCGGGACAATAAGAACTGCGTTCCAAATATCGAAATCAATGACATCATTGGGGCAGATTTCACGTATGGATACATAATCTAAACACCGTCTATTTCATAACTGTCGTTAGATAAATTGGAGTAAGGAGTGCAAACATGCGCCGTCTATCAGGTACACCCTGGACATGACATGAAAGAATTCTTGATAAGACGTTTGCAGAACTCTGAAGTTACCACGTAATGGGGTTAAGATTGGTAAACTCTTGTGCCATTCGGCAGAGGTTATAGCTCTAATCATTCAGATAAATCAGCAAGAAGTTACTCATTGTTTCTTAGAAATGTCGCTATATTGTATCTTAATATGCCCGTGGTTTTTAAAACAGCACTATAGTCTCGCATACGTGTCATCATAAGTTAAAGCCCTAGATCTTAGTTGCCGAAGCAGCAAAGTGGAGTTACTCTCTTTTCCAAGAAGGCTATTTCTTAATTTTCTTGGAGGTATTTTGGATTATATGCCTACTCGAAGTGCCTAAGGAACAGTAGTAATTTGTCTATTTATTATCACCCTCAAGATTTTCCAGGCCATCCCACCAGGGAAACTTGCTGGAAAATCATTTCACGGGGTGTCCCGCTGAAGGAGCTTTTTTTGAGTTCATTGCGTTTCCATTTGACTGGCAGGAATTTGCAAAAGACATAAATTTGCAAGGCTATAGTACTACTAAGTAAACCTTACTACTGTTGTAACCAACTAAGGCCAACTTCAGTATGTCCATTACAATGGGAAATACAAACTCTCAATTAGTGAGCTGTTCTGTTACCCCAATGCTCGTCTCTCTCCCCATATCAACTGCCTGACGTTCGTCGCCAACTCCTTAATTTTTAATATATTCGACACATTGGTCAGCTCGGATTGGTGTTCTCAGTTTTGTGTCTTCGTCCCGGGCTAGCAAATATAGGCCTTCCCACCCGACCACCAACGAGACTGTTTTATTCCCCTTCATCAGCTCATCATATAAGATTATGGAACTGGTCTTTGTCTTCTGATGCCTGAAATAATTAGTGCAGTAATTTTCGCAAAGCTTTTTGGACAGCAGATAATGTCCCCAGGCAAATCTCACACGTTGGCATCTCATTTCTACATGTCTAAATGAACCGAAAATTCCAACTGCTTTCAAGACAGGCGCCTATGTGTACATGTGTATTAGCGGGTCTGAGTAGTACCCCCAAACTCAACCTGCTAGGTTGTGCATGCGACGTGATTCTCGACGCACGGTAAGGCAGCTACTAGTATTAAAGGTTGATATATATAGCGGATAATTCTGGCGACTGAGTGGTTTTGTAAGTCATTGGCGTTGAAGTCGTCGTGAGAATAAATGGGAGTGCGCAATTCTGATTTTGTTTGACACTGCCTGTCATTCTCACTTCAGAGAATAAAAGCTGATCACAACCTCCCGATTCTCCAGTTTCATGGGACTTCTGACCCAGTTGTTCCCTTCGCCGTTGGCAGTCTCACCAACACGGTGTTGAATTCCTTCCAGTTTAGCAATTGTGAGTTACATCAAGTGCCGGACCTCGGACATTCTTGCAACGAAGAGGTATATCGAACAAAGTGTTGTAATTATGCTTCTTTACTAGGAACTCAGACTAGTGCGGGATTTTATCAACAAGGTGCTTTGCACCTGAACTGCCAACATCCGCAGACACACCAGCGTATAGCTTCCATAAGTCTTGTGGACCATATCTCATCATAGTTATCACAGTTATTTTGTAAATAAAATTTTATCCTTGTTCAATTAGTCTGTTTACGTTTTTACCCTGGCAGTGGTGGCGCACCCTAATTGTCTCAGATGCGGGTCGGTAAATTGCATTAGGTCCTGCGAACGTTCGCTCCCTACGATCTCTAAATAGTTAAAAAATCGATTTAGCAGTCCCAGTGTTTTAAGTACCCACAACTGTCTCACACCGTGACTTCAGTGTCTAGTTAAAGTGCAACTCAAAAATGCCCCACTTCCGCATTTGCGAAGACAATTGGAATTACTTAATTTGGTGGCCGGGGCAGTGAAGCTCTGTGGGAGTAGAGTAGCGCAAAGTCGGTTCACTGTCATGTATTTCGCCTCACCCACGAAGCTCGAAGCGCTTGAGAGTGAAAGTAACTGGGCAAATTGACTCTTTGTTCTTTTGTGCTTTTTACCAGGGCTGCAGTCTTCATCCTTGTCGCATTCCGTTTGTTTTGTGTGTTGAGCTAATTCAAAGCCAATCTAGGCTGGGTCCCTGCTCGGTCTACCTAGTCAAACGAGCTCTTTATGACTCGGAGTACCACTGAAACCTCGTTTTAATACTTCCGGTAGTTCCTCAAAACACTCTTGTATCAAGGTCACGGAAATAATAGCCCTGTGTGGCCATTCATCCTCTTTACACACAGCGTGTGCTTTTGTGTATTGAACCATTTGGCTGGGATGCAGTACAACCGTCCTTTGTATGAACGGACCCTCGCTGCTGCTGCTGCTAACACCGAAATAACAAGTGACGGTGAACAAAGCGGTGCGCAGCCCAACAGCCACTTCTGTAACGGAATCCACCTTCCGCACGTGACCCCAGATACTCGGCGTTGTTAAATCAGAGCCAAATCGTGTGAAGCTGTCGTTGAACCGTTGATCTTGACTATGCACCCTAAATTACATTTTCGATTTTCACCCACGCAATCCATGCAGCTTCGATAAATTGATGTGAATGTAGGATTTCTTATCGCCTATCCAGTCAATAACCGCTATCGTGTGGGACATGAAAAGAAACTACAATTATTTCTGATTTGTTGTCAGTGCTATGATTTTCCCAGTGGATCTGTCAGAGACTTCCAAGGGTGCTAGAACAGCGTTCCGATTGAAATGGTGGAGAGGTGAGCAAAATATCAGACAGAGGACACCCAGACATCCTCATTATCCTCCTGTCCTTGAAGCGAAAGGAATTCCTGTAGTTTCCGGGCAAAAACATGCGGTCGTTTGCGTTCCTCCACGAAGGTGAGCGGCATTGTAGCTGCCAACTGCTCAATAAGCAAGCAGGATCGCTCAAACCGTTCCACTCGACGGCGTGCTCGTTCTTTCAGGTACTCGGGGCTCTGTGGATTCACCGCTACCAGCAAGTAGAAAAATGTTTGCTTTTTTTAATTCTTCGATCTGATTTATCCACTAGACTTAACAGTACTTGACTTCAAAATAACAACACTCCAGCTAAGTTCCTGCTCTCTTGCTTTTCATATGCTACGAGCTTCGTGTTAAGCTAACAGTTGACCTAAATTTTAGCTGTGAATTTACGTCAGCCAATATATTTAACGCCTTGCTTTGACGCTAGCTTACATGTACCCCTGGTTTAAGACGTCGTAAACGTGCGAGGCGTCAATACACTGCTCACTGGAGCTTTAAAACTACGCGGTATGTCGTGGTCCCTTCATAACCCGCTAACGGTTTCTTCCGTGCTGAAACGCACATTCACGCAGTCGGAGTTAACGTGGATTTGCAGAACACAAATTTCGTGTTACTTCGATTTTACTATTTGTTTACAGATCAACCAGCACCAAGTAACTGTAGGGCAGTGGGTTTTTTAATGGCCGAGGATCATTGAGCTACTAAATTTGAAGTTACAACGACACAAAGGCCAGTTTTAGTAATCTTGGTTTGAAATAAACATGACCAGTTAAACACCCATCCAAAATTGACAGCCTGTTTTCCCCAAGGCTACCATTCAGGCAGTGAAATTAAGGATTGCCTATATGCCCATGTATCCTGAAAACTCAGTGCAATGCGGCTGAGAATGTGGAGGTCGAGAGGGCTGTGGCGGGCAGCAAGCGAGAACAGTGAGCAGTCGTGAGCGAACGCAAGTAGCAAGCGCGAGCGAAAACGATTGCTGTGTATGTATCCTTCATACATACTCCGGAGACGGATATCAAATCACAAGCCTTTAAATTATGCGTGAGATGGATGTTCCGTCACTGGCACATAAGTGGGCGTAGGTCTAGCCAGCTGTCAAAGGCCGGGACATTGGCGGTGTGAAACAAATGTGAACCAGAAAGTGGGTTATACTCAAACGTAATCACTCAGTAGCCAAGCAAATCTAAAGAAAGAGATTTACTGTGCACCAGAGCTTACCCATTAATTGCAGGGCCATGTAGATAAGTGCCGATCGTTCAGGTGTGAGGAATGGATACTTTGGGCGAAATTGGGCACACATCGCGAGAGCGGTGCGAAGAGCATAGGCAACGGTTTGTTCCAGGTAACCAGGCAGCGGCAAATCGTCGACTGAAATTGCCAGGTTCATCGGGGGCAACTTGTGTGGCAGCTTCAGGTTACCGAAACGGCTTGGACGGCTACATAAATTCAAGCCAGTTTTTTATACCACTCGTTCCACTACGCATGCCACATACAAAATCGGACACCTACTGCATAAACTTTGTTCTACAGTCCTCCGAGCAAAATGCGTAAATCAAACCTTGGTATTTGGCTAAAATATCCCTATTGCCCATTCGTAGGCCCTCATAGCGTAAACCTGACTCCTGAAAGCACACCGGACAGAAGCCTCTCAGCGAGATTTGCGTGGGGAAGGAGGCTCGAAGCGGCGAGCCCGCGGGCAGAAGCCTTGGGAGATCGCTCTCCGCCGGCAGTGCTCTGGGCGCGTTAGGGGAGGTGTACTTTTCAGGATTGGCCATAAATTTCTGCAGCTCCTCGGGACCCGCGGTGCGGTAAATCCTGCCCCTGTACTCGACGGCAAAGCGGAGGTCGGTATGAATTCGCGGTTGCAGGTCGGCGTCGGGATCGTCGATCAAGTAGCGCCACGATGTTGAGGCAAAAGCGGAAAAGTAGTTGGCATTTGGGAGAGCCGCGTCGACACCGGGCAGCCTTGTCTCCAGCGGCGCAGTGTGTTCGATGAGACAGTCAAATAGCTCATCGTGCTCGGCCAGTCTTACGGGGCAGTAGTCGCCGAACTCACCCAAATCTTGGTATACTTGGTTAGTAGTCACTCCCATTTCTGAAATGCTGCTTGCAGTATCTACAGGTTGTAATGTGAAGTTAGGAGCATACAAACATGACGGCCTTCTGTGTTTATCATCGATTAAAATCCGTATTCCGCTTGAGAATTGTTTAAATTTAGTGATCTACTAGCTATTTATAAGAAAAAGAAGATAAGAATCTACGCCTTGTTGAAAAGTGTGATAGTGGCTGAATTAAGCTCTTAAACTATAAACCGGACTCACTTCTTTTCCTGGTGGATGCATATTCCTGCACATGAGCCATTCGATGGGTGATAAGTAATAGTGACTTTTTCTGACTAGCTAATGGAGCTTCATCAGTCGGGATGTCCGACTGCAATCCGGTCAGTAACGCCAGCGATTCCCGACGTGGTCCATCGGAGTCAGTGTGAGCCACGTGCTTGATAATATCCCTCTCTAGTGTATCGCACTCAATGCCTGGGATTCCGTAAAGTTCCTCCAGAGATTGACCCTGACGTACACCCCAATCATCTCTTTTTCCATCATCTTCCTCATCTTTCTTTCCACTAAGGTCACTGCCATCTTCTTGACTGCCTTTGCCACCACCACCACCACCACCTCCACCGCCATCATCATCATCGTCCTCTCCTCCCTTCTTTCTCCCACGCCGACCACCTCTTCCACCCGACCCGTCATCATCGTCGCTTTCACCTCCCTCACCTCCTTTTCCTCCACGACCTCTTCTACCTTTCCGTGATCCGCGGTTGTCGTCATCAGTGCCGTCGTCATTGGAGTCTTCACCACCTTTCCCTTTTCTTGACTTGAGTCCGTCCTTACCTCGGCCACCCTGTCTACCGGCCTTGTCCCTGGAACGTCCTTTTCCAGTTCCGTCATCATATTCGCCACCTGACCCACCAGACGCTCCACCTCCTTTACCCTTTTTTCCTCCACGACCTCCTCGACCCAATTTATTGCTACCATCAGAATCTAGACCACCACCTCGCCTTCCACCTGATCTTCCGGAACCGTCGTCATCTCTTCCACTCCCTCCTCCTCCTCCTCCTCTACCACTCTTCCGCTTCCCGGATCCACCTTCCCCATTATCGTCTGCTCCGGACCCCTTTCCCTTTCCTTTTCCTCCTCCACGTCCGCCATCACTTTCTTCTCGTCCAGAGCCACCACCTTTTTTGTCCCGACCACCCCGTCCACTTTGTCCACCATCTCTTCCTGAACCTCCGGCAGCTCCTTCACCGCCTCTACTTCCTCTACCGAGCCTGTCAGCGCTTCCGTCTGCTCCTCTTCTACTTCCCCCAGAACCAGATGCACCTCCAGTACCTGAATTTGCCCTGAAAGAGGGTGAATAACAGAACACAGGTCTAATATCGGAATAAGAGCATGATTTTAGGGAATTCACTTCAACAATGCATCTGGAAATACTACGTTGGCTACATTAGGTTGAGACAGGACTCGGTAAAGGAGAATTCTGGTGTAGTAAATATCTAAATCTTACTAAAGATGCATCCACCCACCATATTCACACAGCCCCTCGGCCATACAATATTGAGATTCACTGATACAGTGAATCAAAGTGTAAGAGAAATGAGCATAGACATTAAATAAAACTCGATTGTTGCTTAGTTTTTCTGAAAATTTAGGCTGGTGTTGGTAAAATTAACGCAAATTTCAAAGGGGTCTCTGCGCAAATTTTTAAGAACTGAATTCCAGGGTAAAATTCTACCGATTTGTTAACACCGCTGAACTAGTCAGGAGATTTGACGGCAAGCTCTCATACACACGCAGGACTTTGACTAAATAAAATTGATGAGAAAGGCGTGACTGTGTTCAACTCGAAACTCACGCTTTACCACGCCTGGATCTGATTGATGACCAGATTTGGAGGAACGGGCAATTTTGTGGATCCTGATTATTCCAGTTATCGAAAAACCGGCTCACTTCTGTCGAACTGAAGAGAAAAAAGAAGTCACAAGAAGTTCAGCATCCGCATATGGCAGTGAATAATTGTGGAATTTCTCGCGAGTAGTGCTAATTGTCCTTGCTCCACGGACTCGTGCTAATTTGAGACATTCCAGGGCTGATTGTCGGTTAATGTCTAGACATAGCCATGTGCCTTATTTGATTTGACCAGTGACTGCCCTTGCCTTACTGACACGACGTCCTCTGTGATATGACACGCAAACAATTTGGGGCGCCATAAAACTACGTGCAGTGCAAAGACTCCTGGAAATAGGAAAAGTCCCAGTAAAACATCTGCCACACAAAGCACGCGTTAACCAATGGTAGAACGTACAAAAAGCCGAATTGATCTTTGTACAGTTCGAGAGTGAGGATGGGTCGAATGGGCGAAGACGTCAGGTATTGCGCCTGTTCTGATGTTATAGGAAATCCATCCAAGATGTAACTAAAATGAACCATAAATGTTCCAAACACACGAAAATTGCACTCTGTAGACAGCCTAAGATCTACTGGGACGAAGTGGCGAACACTGAATGTTGGTTCTTGTGTGTGGTTTGTTAGGGTTTAACTCAATGCACTGCACAAAAAGTTAAACTCACCCCCTAGATTGTATTTGTGGTGCTATGAGAGCCACCTTGAGCACTTGTGCGACGACGCTGTCGGGAAGCGAATTGCCCGCCAACATGATCTCTTTGATCTCATTGGCGAGATGCGTCCAACTTTGACACGTCGAGCTAAGGAACCACCTTACCACCGCTGGAGTGGTCACGTAAGCGACGTTCAAGTGAGTCGCGAGTCGTTTCGCAACTAAAGCAGGAAATTTCACGCTAGTAAAGGTTGGTTAGTCGGATTTAACAACAATGTTTTTTATATATTTTTATGGTTTGCACCAATTTCCTTTTAACTGATGACGTTTGCAAGCATCGGGCCACTGCTATAATAAAATTGAAGTTTGTGCAAACCCTTGTCTGCCTAATCTTGTCCAATTTGGCAAATTACGATGGAAGTCATTGTGCCCTTTTTTGCATTGGAAATGTAGGAATTGAAAATATCAGCGAGAAATTAGAGGGTTTTTTTTTTCAGGAAGTGCATGGCCTCTAAAATCGAACTGAACAGGTGCATGTTAGTCGATTAAAAACCGTCAAGTTACGATGTTTGCCGCCTACAAAAAGAAACAAACTGTTACATGCCTAATTGATCACGCAAATTAGTTAAATTAGTTATTGGTTAGACCATCCACCATATTTCATGTTTGATGAAAATTTTAAACTTGACCTGTTGAGATGTGCAGTGTGCTACAGCCTACTTGGCTTTTGCCTGTACAATGTCCAGCAATACAGCCAGCAATGACCTTAAAAACCTTGACCACGAGGGCAAAACGCAAAAGCCCAGTTTCTTGTCTGTGGGTAAGAACCTTTTAGCGTGTAACCAAGTCGGATTATCCACAGTACCAACTGTTGTGATCTCAAAAAATGGACTCGACCATCCGCAGAAAACAAGTACCAAGCAAAACTGTCTAGGAGTATTCTACCTAATCATTTTAACCTGCAAAACATAATACCCGAAAGTCGAGCAAATTTAGCTGTAATAACTCGGTTTGACTAAGGCGCAAACATATGCCCTCACTTATAACTACAAGGGTTCACGAACAAGGCAAATTAAAACAATTTAGGCTAACAAAAACGGACACCCAGGGAACGTGTTAGCCGACGTTGGCGCTTCGGCAAAACAGAGACAGAAATTATGGGCTTAAGTTAGCTCCATGCGCAGCATTTATTCAACCAAACACAACTTCAGTTAGTTGGTATTTCTGCTATAAATTACTGTGCTGGTAAGCCGGTTCCGTTTATCTTTTAAGTCAAGCTTTCGTGCGGTTTGCAATTCGGCATCGTGCCCAATAAACTAACTCATAAAACCCGATCAGGAGGCCATAATACGCACCGCCTGGCTTTATAGTGGCCGTTTAGGCCGCGTTGGTCCCAAGGGGACAAAGCGCCGACACCATCTTGCGTGCTGCTTTAACTTTTAAACACGCATTATGTGGCCTGGCAAGTGCAGACTGCCTCAGGACTTGTTGCGTCCAATTCATTTTTTGTGCAAATGCACGGTTATTTATAGCGTTTCCTGTCATGGCTGCTTTTATATCCACCGTATTCAACGTTGGTGAAAAGGTAAATCAATTTTACTGAAATAAACGCGTTTTAACAATGCGACAAAGCCAAAACAAAGCCCTTATTTGAAAACACCTCACAACGAAACTTACTGTTGCTTCGCTCTGTTGACGGAGACCCGATGATGGCAACTCTGAGCGGCTGATGTAGAAGGGTTCGAGCCTGATCCCCGGCGGCGTTGATTATGGCGATGGGATTTTCAGTAAAAGTCTTCCTCTCCGATTCCGAGTCGAACCAGTAGACGCACTCGCGGTAGACTGCAGCGCAGGTTTTGATTGCGCCGGGACCCTTTTTCACCTTCTTTCCCACCGTCGGGTCGATCTCGTCGCCCAGCTGTCGCTCCAGGGCCTTCTGATTGATCACGGAGTAGCGCAGGATGGGCGAGGGGTTGCGTGGCGGCAAGCGGGCCGTGGAGACGCGACTCCACGTGACGGGACAGAAGCGTCCGAACAAGGAGAGGTGTTTGAAGCCACTTGCAACTAGATTTTCCGCCTCCTCCAGTGTCACTGGATACACACGCTCGAAAATGGCCTCGCGGTTTATGATTAAGTTCTTGATTTTCTGGTAACAATAAAATCAAAAACGCGCCATTCAATTCATGAAACAGTTAGGAAACCAAGCCCGTCCACCTTCTAAGCACTACACTTAGGATGTTTAAAGGCTTTTTAAGGTCTTTTATAAAGAAGACCCGTTCCAAAACTTTAAAGCGAGGTTTCTTTCAATTCATTTATATTTTATTTAACTGCGCACAAATCAAATGTTTACGATTGCCTGGTATATTTCGTTTAATTATTTACGCTCCTATTTGATTTTACTGTTTACTAACTCTTTTCTCATGTCGAAAAGATAGTTGATATTCAATAATTTGTGTGGTATTTCTAAATATGGCTGTTTGTTTTGGGTTTTCGTCATAGTATATTGTCTTTCATTTAAAAGAATCAAAAATCAATGATAAAAACACACAACTTGCGTGATTTGAGGCAAAAACAGAACTGTATCCAAATTAGGTGATGTTTCACCTAACCCCAAAAGGTGCTCATAAATTCGGCAAAAGCTTACAATCCTCATGATTTGGCCTATTTCTATATTCTCACTAATGTGTACTATTAACAAAAAGGTCACCTCATGCTTCAACCTACAAGTGAGCCTTGGCATGGGACTTGGCTAAATTCACCGTTAAAATGAGCCGTTAGCTTTCAGTGGCAAACTGGTTTCCAGCTAAAAAATAGGTAGTTTATTTGCGACATTTGGCACTTGCGTTATGGCTTCGCTTCAGTTTGCTAGCACGTTAATGCTATAATCATTTACCGCGCTTCTCAATTTGCCCCAAAGACACCATAGTCAAACAGCTGAGAAAAGATGAGTCCTTTGTTTGGTGAATTAAATAGAGGGATCTATTTATTCTACTTGCGCAATTATAACTTGGACTTTGGGTAAAGGAGCTGATTTTTGGCTTCCAAGCTGAAATCAGTTGAAAAAAAAATTATTTCTGTTTTAGACGCACCGACAGTCCCCCGAAAACGACTGTCTAGTTGTTACTCTCCTCAAGAAAACAGATCCGCTGTTACGAGACAGGGTAAAATACGGCGTAAGGAGTATCTAATTAAACCAGGTCAGTGATTTATGGAAGCAGATAGTCGTTAGCTTGCTTTTTATGACCTTGGAGACGCGGACGGCTTCATCTCATACTTAAACGCTTGCTTCGTGTAGAGGGGAAGGCAGGATAATTTCGTGTTTCAGTTAAGTTGTATTGAGATCAGCGAATACTTGAATCCGCGTTAGTGAAGGAAAAATGGTTTTAACTAAGTAAAAGGATTCTTGCTGGCGTGCTGATCCATCGCACTTAAAAAAAATAATTTGTCCGTTTTTTCCGCCTAAACACATCTCTTCTCTGCCTAAGTTTCAATATATAGGTGAGGCTACTGGGCTGTCTGCAGGCCAAAAAGCCCTTTACCACCGTTTAGTCCGGTTGAATGTGTGGTTTTGTTTGGGTCGATTAGCACGTTCTAACTAGATCTTAACTCCGAACCTGCCACATGGGCTCCAGCAAATGGTGGGTAACTATGTGATGAAATGACGCATAGTCTCACTTGATTGGAACCAAAAATTTCATGACAAATAAATGTTGGATAAAAATGGCCGCGTCATTTAAGTTAAGCGTTTCGGAGATCACCTTGATTAGGCGGTAGCGGACACGAGTGAGACGGTCGTTAGCACGAACTGAGTAATGAGGTATCTTGGCCTCAGTGAGTTCTTCCAGAACGCTTTCGACATTTTCAGTCTCATTTTCAACCCTCTCGGTGATATCCTCGGTTATTCGATCCACTGCACTCTCCTCGTTCTCCTCGTCCTCCATCTCTTCGGCTTCCTCTTCCTAATAGATAAAACACGCCAATTATGTTACGGTGGCGCAGTATACGCAGCAGCAAGCGTAACCGTTAGTCTTCTCTTTTTTACACAATAAAATCATTGACAGGACTGTCTTCCATGTCTTCAAATTTCCTCCTTCTCCTTGTGAAGAGCGTGAAATTGCATTACTTGCAGAAACCAAGCAGAAGATGTCGCTGTTTAGTTACTTGGGAATGACCAATGAACACTGTCTGCCACATTTATTGTAACTTTTGTGCGCTCAAAACAGTTAGCGATTTGGATGAAGAGCAAACGCTGCTAGGGGTTGTAACCACAACGAACAATGAATGATATTTTATATATCCTTACAAAATAAAGGCGAAATAGGCAGCATCACTGTCTCACCTACAGAATCGAATGCCAAATACACCCAATTTAACCATAATCAAGTTGAAATTACAAAATTCTCTTTTGACAAATCAAGTAGAATCATTATTCTAGCAGGAATTTCAGAAATGTACAACGTGAGTTAAGGAACACTATCAAGCTATTTAGCGTTAAAGTAGTCAACGTAAGATTGTTACAACTTGTAGCGAAATGTGATTTGATGCTCATTTTGTGCTAAAAATAAATTAACTCAGACTTAATGGCCTAATGAACTGAATATAATTTTCAAGGGATATACCCTTAAACAATTGAAACAACGCTATTTTTTTAGCTCGCACATTAAAGGCTGAACAGCTGACATGACGGAATATCAGCTAATATTTCCCGAAAATATGTGACACAAAGCGCATATGCTCAAGCAGGGATAAGGGATTCAAAAGTTCATCTTACTGGTAGCTCTTCGTCCAGCAGTTCGTCAACATTGACCTCGTCATCGAGCTCGTTGTTTTCGTCCAAATTTTCATCGGCCACGTCGTCTCCCCCTTGTTTCTGTCACAACAAGACATCAAAATTTGCTGTTTAATTTCAAAACAACGATATTAGGCATCTTGGGCATGTCAGACAAAACTCGCAGCGCTAAACCTTGGATGTTCAAGGGCGGCGAGCCAAATCGGCCATTGCTGATCAACTTAGAGGGGGATAATAGCATGATGAAGGTCATTTTGATGGCGATTCCTTAAGGAACTTCAATTTTGGACTGAATTGGTTACACTAACGAAAAACTAGATGGGGGAAAGCTAATAAATTATTGATGGTGCTGCAAATTTTCAGGCTCTCTGGAGTATGCCTCAGTCAACAATGCCTTTTTACCTTGAATCAGTTGTGTAAACTTAAAATGTTCTGTTGAAAATAGGAATTTTTCCTTTCGAATTATGCGTTAGTCAGTTCTAACTGTCCCAAAGTTGTGTAACAAGAAATCCTAAGTAGAAAATGTCTTGCGAGTAAAGCCCAAAGACGCGTAATACTCCTAGAAATTAACGAATCCCAGTAGAATAATTTCTTATCTAAAAAAAAATCAACACGATCGTACTTCAATCTTACCGAATTCCTCCTCCATTTATTTGCGAAAGACAGATTTACCTACCTACAATGTATTGGTTTAAAGAGAGCACTAACAGGGATAAATTTGATGACTATCACTTTAATGCAGAAGCCAAACTGGAGAATGCTGGATTCTAGAAAGACCATTCAACAGGAATGGCCGCAGAAATTATTGTCTTATCGTGGCTTTTCAAGATTCCACTTGCCTGCCCAGTTCTACGGGTTGAATACCGAAAAAAGGCAGGATCCCATTGTAGAAAAGTGACAAAACAACTGATTGAACTGGTGAATGCCGCCATTGACTGGGAGTTAATACACCTCCGACCATAGTTTATAGCACTATATTGCAACAAAATGACTACAACACACCTTTTGTTTCCCCGACACATACCTAGGGCTTAAGAGTAACAATATCAAAACGGAGAATTTGGGTGGTAAACAACGCAAATATGGCCAGAGGGAAGAATTCCGAAAGGGGCAATTGTGGAAAGTAAAAAAAAACTAAATTCCTTTTTCTAAAAAACAAGTTCCACGCAAAAATGATTCCCACGTAAACAAAAGCAAGCAGTCAGTGGAATTTAAAGGCCCAATTCTGAACTTATCAATTTTTTTGCTTAGTTAAGACCCCACCCGTTTTATTGCTGTGCATCGTGCTTCTTTAAAGCAAGAAGTACGCTTCGTCAAGAGGTAAGTAAACTTACGTATTTGGCCATCCTCTTCTCATTAATCGATTTGATGATCATCTTGCGTCTCTCTTCCCTAATACGCTGTCTTTTCTTCTTATTCCACTCAGCCTCTATTTGCTTGTTTGCTTTGATCTTCGACATTTTGACCTTCCATTTGGCAAGCCTTGCAGGTAGTAGTCTAGGTATAACATCATCGGTTTCGGCATTGAGAACAATGGCAAAGTCGAAGTAGAGGTTGGATTCCACCATGTAGGTCACGTCGTCGGTTGTGCGCGGGAAGCCCTCGAGGATGAATCCACGCGACCTGTAGGGCTCCTCGTGCCAGAGCCTGGCCACAAGGAGGTTCAGGGATTCCTGCGGCAGGGGTTCGTCATTCTCGAGGAATTCGCGAATGGCAAGATCGTGCGGACTGATTCCATCTGGAGTGGCATCACTCTCCTGTTCCACAGCCTCTGGCTCGGCTGCCTCCACAGCGTCCTCGGGGTTTTGCATTTGCAATAAGGCCTTTGCAACAGCGGCTTCAAGGCTGCAAAAGTTCATAAAAAGGGCTATTTTCTTACTGTGGACATCACTGCTTGTCTGTTTCACTGGCATTCAAGAAGTTATTGCTACAAAATTAACAGACTATTGCGAAACATGAGTTAAAGGTGCAGGCGAATCCAGAATTGGGTAATCTCAACCAACCAGCACAACCTAACGAGTGAATGTCAATGTCCAAGAGTGGGAACAACTCTCAGTCGACATTTTGACCCAGTAAATACAATGTAATTAAGAAATGCCATGAAAATGCGATCTACTAGTTTCGCTGGTGACGCTCAAGGGTTAATTAGCATTCCAGACTAAGTGCCTGATTATTTAAAAACTAAAACATTGTTATCACTAGTCAGCAGTTTGCTTTATTTGAAAAAAAAAGAATTTCGCTAACTGGATTTGCTTCTTGACCGTGACTTTTTTGTGTCCTAGTATCTCGACTAATTCCCTCACCTCCTGCACAGCAAGCCTAAGAGCCTAGGGTGGACACTAATTTACAATGCTTGATCGGGCGGCCAATCAAAAGCAAATATAGTGAAATTAGTTCAATGATGGTGATTGTTGTAGTATGTCCAAATACAAACCTACCGTCACCCACAGAACCGTTGTATGGGGCAGCAAGATATAAGTGTGCAAAGTCCAAATTTTAGGATCATTAAGTTTAAAAAAAGTCCTCTTAAGTAAAGCAAACGTTGAAATTGGACAAGGAACCAAACTATCATTGGACAAGAAAAGGCAAAAAGTAACTTCAGACTTCTTGTACTTCTGATGTATAATTTACCATCGCTAAAAAGGCACTGCAGAAGGCAACATAAGACTGAAGATAGTGAAGCCTCACTTGTCAGGCTAAGAGATTACCCAGCTTTAGAACTTCAAAAATCGTACACACATGAGCATAAAGAGTTCCGCACGTACCTAAGTGACATCCGTATTAAAGTTGGTCCTTCTAAATACACGGTCCAGCCACCAGTTCACAAGTTTAGCTTAAGCTCCAAGAAGAGTTTACGAGTGCCGTCCCTCACTCACAAAAGGGAACACAACCTGGCCAAAGGGGGCCTTCAATTGCCCTGGTTGCAGGTTTGTGTAAAGCTAGCGCAAGCGTTTCGAAGCTTTGCTGACATAATCAAATTACGACTGCACTTTGCCAAACGTAGCATTTATTTTTAATCAGCCGACTTACTCAGGCATCACTTTCACCGGAATCGGTACGTCGTCTACGTACTCAGGACCAATGTTCTTTTTCAATTTGGCCATCATGACATCCTGAAGGAGCTGATTAAAGCTCACGTGGATGACATCCAGTCGGCAGGCGAGTTGACGACCGTGTAGGGTCTTCCCTGTTCCCGTTGGTCCCAGAAGCACAATGCGCAGTGGCGGTGGCTAAAAACACAGCAAGTGAATCTGCCATCAACGGAAAGTGCGGCGCCTCGTTCCTTAAAAGATCAACCGATCTTGCAACTCGGAAATGCACGCCACTTTCTTGCGTGCGAATTAATAAGAAATTGGGACCAAATGCATGCAAAGGGATTTCGGAGATTTAGTTTTGAAGGAGGCCAGTTATCACGGATTGGTGGAGAGCATATCATTCCAAAGAAGGATTAAAACGTAAAACTTAAACCCGAGCCCCTAAATTCTGCCATTTTTGCAGAAATATGAAACAGGAACCTCTGTCTATTTGGCATCATTAGCTTTTACCCGCTAAAATATTTGCCTATTCAAGATATTACTTGCTGCTAATATTAATTTTCATTGAAAACCCTCATCAATAGCAAAATAGGCTGAGTATCTGAAAAGCAGGAATTATACATCTACATATAAATAAACTGCCACTATTGATCTCGTTTTGGGTTGGAATTTCGTGAGTTCTGGTCACCACAGTACAGTGGAGAAGCGCTCCTTACCTTTAACGGGCCCTGGTGACCACCACCTACGTATTTCTCGGGATCGGCAAGAAATTTGTCCCGCTCCTTCTCATCGCTGAGGTAGTAGACGAGGCCTTTGTAGGTGACCACCATCTCGGGGTCACCGGGCTTCAGGATCCGCAGCTCATGATATGCCACTGGGCAGAAATAACTGGTTTGGCCCAGACGACGATTCGTCCCACGTGATGGGTCCTCCTCTTGCATTGATTCCTCACCTTCCTCTCCCTAGAGCATCATTGACAAAGTGCCTACACAGTGGACTGGAGCAATTCACTTTGATTCCTAGCTTTCCTATACCGTCCTCAAATGCAATTTGTTAATGAGCACAACGCGAAAGATCTGTTAATTGTCAATACGTTAAGTCCTAACATGAGACAATTTGACCTAGGTATATTACTAATGTTCACCACATATAGGGTAAGCAGTTTATTCTGACTCACTCGCCTCGTGGTTTGTTTGCAAGACTTTACAATGGAATATTACTATGATCAAGTTCAATATCATTAAAATGCCACACCCAAATTCCTCACGACACTTAATAGCTACTTTGGAACCCATTTGACTAATTTAATGGTGCATGAGTGCCAATATTATCTGGTGTAAGAAAGCTAATGTCACCTGTAAATAACACCGATTTTAAAACGAAAATTTGTATTTCTGAAGAAGCTAAGGGACGACACTATAGTGAAATTTTATTTCCGAAGCTAATTAAATTAAGTTAAAAAAATTGCGTTTAGATCGGCTTCGTCTGTTAGCCGTCTGTCGTCTTTTAAACTTCAGCATACGCGGCCGTCACCGCACAGTGGTTATTTACCAAGGGCTAATAAAAGCTAATAACGACTTCAAGTTAACAAGATGCATCGAATGTGTCGTCCACAATGTGGGCACTTCGTAGTCGAAAGCTGGAAGGAAAAGCACAGCTCACCGAGGCTCCTTCCTCCTCCGCCTCCTCCTCGGCGCCCTCTTCTTGCTCCTCCTCGTTTTCCTCGCCTCCTTCCTCGCCCTCCTCGCCAAGGGCGTCTTTGAGGGCGGGGTTGTCCTCCAGCCCGCCGGTCTCGTCGAAGCCCTCCGACTCGGCTTCGACCGCCTCGTCAAGTTCGTCCTGCGAGGTTTCTCTCGCCGCAAATCGAAAGAGCTCTGAAGGTTGCAGGAAGAAGACCTGTGTCAGGGCCACTTTTCCCCCAACTAACCATGCATTTTCTCCAGTTAAAAGCACCACGCTTATCTGGCACATCTCAGTGCTTCCTTTCGGCGAGCACTACAATGCATTATACAAGGATGGAGATTCATTTTCCGCTTGGTCGGCTTAATAAGGTGCCGACTCCTGCATGCCAGCGCTACTGCAGTTAATTAGGATGCAAAACTCTCTTACGCGATAAGCCTTAAGCTCTGACACCGTAAATTCCTTTTTACGCAAATGCATATTTAGTTACCCTGAATGCGGCACAGCTCTCTATCCGTACACACATTTTAATTTTGCATGATCTTGGCTAGCAACATTTTGGATAATTTCATGTCAGTTCTCAGATCTCTACTAATGCAAATGTCCATACGCCACGTCGTTTCATCTGCGCCATATTTACCACAGAATTCTTCTTTCTACAAAAATAAATCATTCTAACTAAAATCGGTAGATACTTTCAAATTCTTCGTTAACTTCGTCGTAGATATTGTCGAGAGTTGTATTCTTCCTGATCAATATCTCCTGTGTGCGCACCGGGAAGTCGTAGGCCGTGGAATAACCAGAAATGGCCTGTTTAGAGGTCTCCCAGGCCGCGTCGAAGCGCACCAACTGGTCACGCACACAGTCCACTTCGGGACCGGGCTGGGGCATCGGGTCAAAGGCCTGGTTCGAGCCGGGCGGGTCCTCTGGGGGCTCAGTTACGGAATCGTCGTCATCCGCTTTAGCCTTACTTTGGGTTTTCTCCTTCGTGCTACCATCCGCAGTTTCAGTTGCAGCCATGGGCTCCATCGAAACCATATCATCCCTAGCCGTCTTCGGCAGGGCTGGTAAACCTGTTTAAACATCCATAATTATTGCTACTCTTACATTTTAAGCAGGAATTATAAAACCGAACCAACCGACAGAAAGCGCCATCATCTGAGGGCATTAACTACATTCTACCGTCAACAAATTTGTTGGACAAACATGGGTGCAAAGTAAGAGATTTACTTGACAAAGCTCTCCGTAATCACTTTGTAATCTCAAAACCGCCACATAGATTTTCGAACTTTAAAACAATTCCGAAGGAAGTAACAAATACCCCCAGCATTCCACCAGTGCCCTTTACCTTCCAATGGACCAAATCCAATGGTGTAGAGTTTGTGAATCAAGAAAGCGTTGTCAGGCAGGGCGTCTTTGAGCTTGAAGACGAAGGAAGGCATGGGGTCGGGGGGAATGACCTTGGCGTTGGCCTCTTCGGCCAGCTGACGAGCTGCGACGAGACGTGGACTGGGAGTCTTGGCGTAGGGATTTTCCGACTCATCCTTCTCATTCCCGCCGTCTTCCATGAGCCCTTCTTCGTCCTTGGCCTCCTCTTCCTCCTCCTCGTCACCTCCACGCCGTTGGCCTGCGCGCTTAGCGGCCTGCTCTAGTGTGTGCAGCTTCTCGACAGCTTCTCGCACCGACTTCACCTCCGATGCCACCGCTTTCGAGCGTTGGACCAAATCCTGCCACACTTCCGGCAACGGTGGTATCCCCTCGATCACCCAATTAAGTGGTCTGCAGAGTAAAAAGCCACGTATCTACCGTAAAATGCCGTAAAATGCCTGTCGACATATTTGTGCTGTCTCTGGAGATGATAATGGCAACAAATCAGATTGGGCAAAATACTTAATGGAGATTTGCCCTAATCGAAGATGGCGCATTTTATACTCAGATAGGGAGACATCATCGATTTCCCACGTTAAATCCCCTTTTTCTGAAATAAGGCTTCAATGAGGGAGGTGCTGCATTCCTGAAGCTTTTATTCGTACTCCCCAATAACTCCACCTCAACCACCAAAGGTGGTAGTGAAATTAATGACACCTTAGGGGTAATCTGTTAGCTCATGTAGGATACCAATAGGCATTGGATGTTGAGTATTTCAGCAAACTGGAGTAAATTAATACAAGGAAACAGAACAGGTCAAACAAATTTTCTATATACACCATTTTAAAACAGGAATTAAACACGTTGAGTTGTTTTGTACTCTTAAGTGGTTTCAGATACTCAATAAAAAAAGGAATCGACAGTTCAAAAGTAAAACTGGTGCATGGTGAACTTGTGTTTGATTCAGTCATATAGCTGCGCGCTCCTTTCGGTGGCGTTTCACCACAACTATACTGGTATTTTTAAAATTGTTTTCTGCGTCTGGAAAGCAAATCGTTATTTTCTATTACTTTGATACCACTTTTCGGGCCAAGACGATAGAAAGCGGCCATTTTGAAACCGCTTAACGCGGCTAAAGCCACAAACAGCACTCCTGAAAGTCGTGCAGTCCACCAAGCAAGCAGTGCAAAGCATTTCAGCAATTTATATCATTTTGGTCAATTTTGACCACAATGACATATCCCGCTGTGTCAGTTCCGTCTCCACGAGAGATCGAATGAGAATTGGCAGAGGAGACGAAACGCCACCAGAAGAATATTGTCCACCATCTGGAGTCAATAGACATTGTTCAAAAGACGGAGACATGAAAGTTGCAAGAGTTAACTGATAGCCACGGCACAAGGACACAGGTGGAAACAAAGCAAGGTTGGTGCATCGAATTGGCACTGGAGACTGGAAGTGGTGACTCCATGTTGGGTTAAACCAAACGAAGGAGTGGGCAAGGATGACCCACAAATGCAACGAATCAAACAGGACTTTTGGCATCTTGAGATGACGATTTGTGTCAGGTTAAACTGCTCGACTCTAATTCAAGCCATTGACTAGCACTTCTACGCCATCCGAAAGAAGCCATTCAATAGCCGGTGGTTCTGCACCATAATAGCGCGCGATCGCACGCGACGCGCCTCTCCAAGACATCAGAGAGTTTTCAAACCATTCCCCATGCTGTTCGGATCTCGTTCCGCCATTTACCCGCCAACCTTCAAGTCATCTGTGTGGCATGACACTTGAAAACGATTTGGGACTCGGTAATTTGCTTGAAAACTATTTCGCGACTAGACTATTGGATGTTTGACGAAACCAAAATCAACCATTTAAAAAAGAGGTATAAGATTGGTAAGTAGATTTTGCTTCTTTCAATGTCGTTTTAACAACGGGATTAAAAATGAGGACAGGCTAAGGCCTCAGCCGTATAGTTTATGTATTCGCCAAAATTCAGCCCGCCTGATTGGTAGACAGAAAATTTAATTGATTCAATGTGTATGCGTGGAGAACCAAACCTGGTACCTTTTCATTATTCAAGGAGAATTCTTTCACAAAATGCAATAATCAGTCATGTCATTTGGCTGCCCCAACTTGCCTGCGTTTCAAAGGCGGGACATTTCGATTTTCATAGTCAAGGCGTTCCAGCTCCTGGACGAGAGCGTCCACGTACACCTTTGGCTCGAGGTAGTTCGGACTAGCGTTGGCAAATCGGATGGCTCTTGTCACCTCCTCAACAATCTCCGGATTGTCTGGGGTTATTTCCTCTTTCAAACCTGCAATGCACAGTCACATTACAGTGCCTCGCCAAACGCCAGTCTCACACAGCTTATCGCGTTTAAGCAAAACTGACAACCTGAACAACAGGGTGCTTGGAAATTTGTTAGATTGTACAATTTCATTGTGAAGAGGAGGAGAAAGCCAAGAAGGACACAGCAAGACAGACAAAGAATGAAGCGTTAAAGACAAATGTTGTTTTTTTGCTGTGTGCAACTATTTGCCCGAAAACGCACGCAACAGCCTTGGCAGACATTTTTTGGCGTCAAATAAATCAGGACTGTTGCATCACAGGTGGGGACCATTGGGAAAAATAAGCTACATTGTTCGACTAGATCGCTTTCTGGAAATCATTCTACGGTTTCAAGAAAGCACGCCGTGTTTGCCCAAAGTGGTTGCACCGATCCGATGAAGTAGTTCCGTCTGGGAGATTTTAATAATAACAAAAATGCAAAATTGACTTCAAGAGTTCAACAACGAAATTCGACTATAGGTTGAAAGCTAACCAACAATTAAATAAACGATTAACATCAACTTTACGGTCGGGGATTACAAATTTTCTCGGTGGTGGTGGAACACACGGAGTCCACACTACAAAGCAAATTCACACCCAATTTAGAACTTGCTTTGTTTATTCCCAGAAAGATAAACGGGTGCTGACAATGGCGACTCGTATGTTATATAGCATTGATGAATGAATTCAACCAAACAACATATCTGTGCAGAGATTCAGACTATTAAAATTTACGTCCAACTGATTCACTTACTAGGAACTGAAGTCGTATCTAAAAATGATAAAAAAATGACATGATACAGAATGAATTTATCTACTGACACACACACACACACCCAAGTAAGATAAACCAATAAATTTTAAGATTTTGCTTAAATAGGGTTGTGGCAAACGAGGTAAGAGAACATATACGGATGCAAAGGTTTACACTACAAGACTGTTAAAAGTATTGCAAAAATCCACGCTAATGTAATTCATTTCAACCAACATGAGCGTCATCTGCAAGCATTAAGTCAACCCATCTTCACACATCTTGTTTATTTGCTGAGCACATTGCATTCCCATTCATAGTAGAAAAAAAATAATTCAAAGTTTGGAAGCCGTGCGAAATTAGGTTGTTTCTTTAGCTAGTAATTGTGAACGTCCCTTAGCTTAAGAGTGTAGTGTCGATGCCATGTTGGGGGTGAAATGTCATTTTCGGCTTGGACTCCAAAGTTTATGCTACTGATGGTACAGAACGACGCTACACACACTACCGTGAAACAGTGTGACACGAAGTTTCCTTGAAAATTTAGAAGAGATGTCTTAAACATTTCTGTTTCATTTGCTACTACTTTTGGTCCACAGAAAATCCGGTCGCTCCACCTCTGACACAGGGTTCCCTTTTTCACAGCATGTCGCCAGCCGCGCGGATCCTCAACTCCCCGCTCATTCACACTGATATTTATCTTGGATTATCCTCACACATAGGTAGCGATGTTAGCGCATGTATGACTCACACATCCGAAGTATAAATACACACGCGCAAACCCCAAACATGACACAACGACACCAACGTGGTTAAGCACTGAAGTAAACGGTTGTGTCCACGTCCTCTCTGCCCTTTTTTCTTCATCACGGGTATTAGGCAAGCGTAATCTGGCTAGAGTTAATTGCGTGGCCCACATGCTGGGGCCCACAACAATTGGTGACCCCGACGTTGGACGAATATCGACCTTCATTGTACAGGTCCTGATAATTGATCATTATCGGCAAGCAGGAACTAGGAGGACACTTGCCCTTACGAGAGGATTTGTCTTCGCTCCGAGGAGGAAGGAGATTCTCGAGGGTCGATTCAGCAACATCGTTCACGACTTGCGTTGTCAAGTCAGAAAGAGCATTGTCAACTAAGGCACCTTAATAAGGAAAAATTAGTGGCTTTAACGACTAAAGCAGATGCTTTCAGTCTTGGACGCGTGCAGTACAGTTTCCTAAGATTGATTACGTTTAAATCGCTAGTGCTAAACAGTCAACTAACCATCCACTTTTTAGAAACATATCAACGAGTTGACCTAAAAAGTACGGTGGTTTACATTGGACGAGTTCTATCAAGCAGCTCTGGGATTATTCGGAATTTTGTGGCAAAATACACGCAAGCGTTAATCAAATGGGGTTTTCTACATCACTTGGTTAAATGTCAAACTAAAACTTCACAAAGAGCCTTTTAGACATCAGAAGTTATTAAAATGATTTGAATCTTCAGTTTTAAGGATTTTCGTGAAAAAAATACTTAAAGATCTCTTTCGACGGCAAATTTGAGGAATGTGGAGGAGAATGAGCATTCAATGAGCAAAAATTTAAAGACTGGCAGTTTGCTAATTTAGTGGCTCATGAAACTCTCAGTTAATAAGCCTCACACGAAAGACTTCCCTCTTTTTGAGCGCAACCACTTTAAATATGCTTAATTGAGATCATCACGAATAAAATATGTTCTTTACTGGCACCTATGGTATTCTACTATTGCAGCAGTGGGAATACTCAAATTTCTCCGACCGTTAGGATTTCATTTTTACAATTGAAGGAAGGATTATCAGGGAGATCGCAGGTCTTTAAAGGCAGTTATAACAGACATATAATTCTGATCAAATCAAGCAATGCAAAACTAATATATAGACCATGTGACATTACAAATGAATTGCCTAAGGAAAATCTGTAATTGCTCTCGGATTGAATTTGAGTGATAGCGTGTCACCTGAGCTAAGACCTGAACGGGTACAGGAGACAGCAAGACTGCATGAGTGCTCCAGTATTTTTGGCAAGCAAAACAAGCAAACGGTGAAGCTATTTACTTGTTTTATCTGTTTTTGTTCTGTCAACATTCTGTGCGTAATGTAGCCAACATATCAAAGGCATTTTCGGACTATTTAGGCACTTTGCCTGACTATACAATATTTCCTTACATCACAATACCATGCTGTCTAGTTCGAGAATCGCAAAAGTCTAGAAGATGGGAAACATTTTAGTCAGGACGAAGGAGGTTCAACTGCAAACCCTCATCTAGATTTGTCTTAATCATCAAAACGTGAGGAGATTTCAAGAATAAGAAGCTACTTAGGATCTCGTAAAGCAGCTGATATCAATTAAATGTAATCTTTAACCTAAAATTGTGCTGATTAAAGCAAAATTAGTGGCCTGCAGCAAAATATAAAGCTGCCTTTACATGTAGTAGATCAACAAGGTACAAAGTGACCAGTGTAAATGCAAGTCAGTCAGAATGCGAGTTATACGAACTGATTTCCACAAATTCCACCTTACTTGTCACGATCGCGTCAACTTCTCGTCGGCGCTGACTGATCATTTGTTCGATCAGGGAGGCCTCAACTTGGGTGCGGACTTGGTATCGCATCTCCGCACGCTTGGCAGCGTGTTCCTTTCGAAGGAGGTCTGTGAGGCTGATCCAGACGGCATGGTGTCTGTCGGCAATCAGGCGACAGAGCGACCGTGCACCCGACTCCAGGTAGCCCACCACAGCGATGCGAACAGGCGCTCTCGGCAGCACCCCGATGGGACCGAGGTAGGGCCTCGGGTTGCGTGTAAACGCATTCAGGGCTTCGCGAGATGACAGGAAGAACATTTCACCAAGGAAGCTGTTGAATAAAAAAGACAACTGAGGAGCCTTTTTGGTATGGAATGCGTGGTAGCCTCTAGACGGTTGCCAGTACTGAGGAGAACAAATGGACAGAGTGTCATTTGAATTATGCTAAGTGATAATAAATTAATAGGCACATGAATTTAATTTCATATATAATTTCTTTGAGATGAGTGGTTTTGAAAGGATCGAACGAAAGGTTCCAGAACACTGAATGAAAAGTCAACGTGAATTAGGTAACCTCTCAGATCAGCAGATTTTACAATGGCACCCGACAAGCATCACATTCGACACTTCATTTTAAACGTATTCTTACAAGGAAAAAATGCTATTGGAACACGGTAGTCAGTATGACCTCTTTTCATTGTTCCGACGTTGTGTCTGATTAAACGCGCAGTTGTTGGCACAATCATTTTAGATATGTTGATCTCGATCTCCGAGACCAGTCACGACGTGGACAGCAGCCTCGAAAGTTTGGAGATGCGAAATTGCAAGCTCTGTTGGGTGAAAACACAACGCTAATGCAACAGGAGCTTGCAGCTCAGTTAGAAGTCACCCAAGCAGCTATTTTCAGGCGACAACAACTCGAAAACTTGGAATTTCTGTCTCACGTGTGTTGACAGAATACAACCTTGCTCAATGTTTGAATACATGTCTTGTTGAAAATGGTGGCGGGTGTACACATATACTTCCATGAGAATTGCAGACGTAAAATGTCGTTTGCAGACCCCTGAAAACCCAGTACATCGACACCGAATCAAGACATCTACTTGACGATAAAGCTTCTCCTGTGTATCTGTTGGGACATGGACGGCGTACTATTTTATGAACCCCTAAAAACTTGTTGTCAGATGGTGACGCAAATCGCTACAACCGACAGTTAAACAAATCGAACGAAGAACCTG